AAAGCGGATCACAGGGGCTGAGGATGTGGCTCAGCTTGCCTGGCATGAATGAGGTCCTTGGTTCAATCCCAAGCTCTGCAAAAAAGAAAGAAAGAAAGAAAGAAATCAAGAAAAAGAATACAGATGTTCCCAGACCCATGATGTGTTTCTGTCCCAATAAATCCATTGTTAAGTTGAAAATATCTTAAAATCAAAAGTGTATTTAATATACCTAACTTACTAAACATAATAGCCTAGCCTCACCTATCTTAAATGTGCTCTGAATACTTACATTAGCCCAAGTTGGGCAAGTTCATCTAACATAAAGTATATTTTATAAAAGTATTGAATATTCCATGTTATTTACTGAATACTCAGAAAGTGAAAAACAAAATCGAGTATGCTTTCACACCGTTGTAAAGTTCAAAAACCTTACACTATTGTTAAGCTGTGGACTGTCAAGTGTGTAGAACCAATTTCAGGGGGCTGTTGTAGGAATGAAAGGACTTAACAAAGGACTGAGAAGAGGGTCTGGGATATAGGACACCCACATGCACACTGGTGAGTACTAAAGCTACTCTCACCAGAATCCAAAGGAGGGAGGGTCCCAGGGCAAAGCCCCAGGAGAGTCATCCATCACCCTTCCATCCCACTGCTGAGGTGTAGCTGCATGAAATGCCTAAACAGGCATCCAGTAAAAGTTTCTTCAAAAACTCACAGTGGTGGAGCTGGGGCTGGGATTCAGTGGCTGAGCACTTGCCTAGCATGTGTGAGGCACTGGATTCAGTCCTTAGCGCCATATAAAAAATAAAAAAAATAAAAAACAAAGGCAAAAAAAATACATTAAAAAAAAAAAGTCATGGGGCTGGGGCTGGGGCTCAATGGTAGAACACTTCCCTCACACATGTGAGGTTCTGGGTTCGGTCCTCAACACCTCATAAAAATGAATAAAGATATTTTGTCCATCTACAACTAAAAAATATTTTTTAAAAATTCACAATAATGAACAGTGACCAATGGCTTCAACAGATCAAGCAAAGAAGAAAAAGAAGTCAAAAAAGGGTCATTATCCAGATAAGCAAGTAGAAGGGGGAACCTAACTACAGTGCTAGGAAGCACTTAAAATGAATGACTGGGGGTGCCTCAGATCCATGTGGGCAGACCTAGAGAACAGAGGGAAGCGCAGGCAATGATGCACCTCACACAGTCCAGTGCCACCTGTGTGAGGTGGTGCAGCACCAAAACTCGAGATGCGAGCTTACTCGCCATCACCAAGTGAATCATCCGTGAGTACCAAGCTGTAAAGGATGGCTGCTTCCTATGGAAGGGAGGGATACAGGGCACTGTAACCATAGCTGTGACCTCTAAATCAAAGCTGCAGAATGGGTATGTTTGTAGGCATAGCAGTATTTACTGCACAACTGCACAATCCTTCCATGGATGCTTGAATAATTCATGATATATTAAAAGTTGAAATTACTTTTAAAAAAAAAAGGAATGGATTTTCCAATGAGCAGACTGGTCAAGTTCATGGCCAGATTCCTATTAATCAGCTTCCAGGAGCATCCTCTGTGATGCAGGAAGTGGATGCCTGAGTGACAACCCAGGCAGAGGAGTTTGGCTACAAGGAGCAGAGTGGGTGGTGTGCTCAGGGTCAAGGCCAGGGAAGAGCAAAGAGAGGAGAGAGACTGGGGTACGATCATGACGGAAAGAGAAAAGCCAATGAGAATGCCAGTGAGCAGGCCAAGTCAGGAAGACAGGAGCAGAAAGCCACAGGAAGACACCTGACTGGAGCAGAGCCCACCCCAGCTGAGAAGACACAGCCACAGGGCAAAGGAGAGCTTGCAGCCAATTCAGCTCCACATACCTTCACTGCAATGTCACCAGGAGCAGACCCTGCACAAGGTCATAGGGGTCAAGACAATAAGATCTACTTCTACAGTCAGGGGCTCAGATTCAGAACACGGAGAGCAGCTTCTAGTTATAGAGCTAGAAGAGCCTCCACCATCCCAAACAGTTGACAGGTGAGCCTCAGAAAGCAAGTCCACCACCTAGCACTACCTGACACCCAGAGCTCCATTTGCTAGCATCTCAGTTTCCTTGGCTCTGAGACAACTGTCACTCACCAGGTGCAGACAGCAGAAGAACTAAAGCAGGCCATCTACCCTCATCCTGGAGCAGTGCTTCTCACTGAGCCATGGTTCAAGAAACTGTCACTGAGCAAGGCTGCAGCAGTCCTCCCGAGACTGGATCTTGCCCCAGCACTGCCAATGGCATGCCTCGCCTGAGTGCTGGTGTTCATTCAAGGTGATGAACACACTGTCCTGAGAGGCAAGTGCCCAGAAGTACCTGGCAGCCCTACCACTGTGGGCAAAACCATCTGCATCTCTGCAGAGCTAGAATCTTAACTCACCGTGGACCTTTGGGGCATTGCCAGCAGCCCCACAGCTGACAATCTGCAAGGGTAAGCATCTAGCAATGGAAAGTGCAAACTGACAGGAGCAGACAGAAGGAGCACTGGGAAGAGCAGGCAGGTTCAGAGGATGAGGTCCTGAGAGGGCTGATGGCAGGAAGGCACAGGCATCCCACAAAGGAGTATGTGCTATGCCAAGGGGCAGGAGGGCTTCAGAGTGTTCAGTAAGGCTAGTTTTTTCCCGGCTTTGGGTTTGAAAATGGTGGGAATGGAGAGGAGGGATACCCTCAGGATTATGTATTTATGATAGAATCAAAGATGATGTGGCTTGAGTCTAACTGGATGTAGGAGGTGAGAGGGAAGAATTTTGATGGCTCCCAGGTTGCAGCTCAGGGGAATTGAATAAAGCAGATGGTGGATCCATTCATTGCAATAGGGGATGAAGATTGAAGGCCTCTATTTTCTCAGTGATGTAAAAGGCAAGGTCACCTGCCTGGCGGAGGCAGGATGAGGTGAGGGGCCTGATGAAAGTGGCAAAGGTCTAAGAAAGCTGCCAAGGATAATGTGAAAAGCAGCTGATGAGGGACAAGGAAAAGGATTGCCACGCCACGCTGCAAGTCCAGCCACGATTGGAAGCCATAAATTTGCAATGGCACCAATCAATGCGTGATGGGACTCCCTCCCATGGAGATCAACAACCATCAGTAGAGAACACAGGGGGATGGGACTGTGCAGGCAGGGCCAGGGAAGCACTGTCAAAAGGGAAAAAAAAAA